ATCAGCATCGTGAGAGATGGCCCAGGATGGCCCCAGCCAGTTCAATGGACCTGGGGGAACAAGGTTTAGTCTCTGAGTTGGACTGACTTCCAACTCTGAGTTGGCATCGTGAGAGATGTCTCTGTGCTGTTGAGGAGGCCTGGGCCCACAGGCTGGCAACGACTCTAGAAGGGTAGACGAGAGGGACAAAGATCTCTAGGAGGGAGGCTGTGATTCTGTCCAGGACTCCAGTCAGAGCCCCGAGGCTGATTCTAATCCCCACACTCCCCTCTGCCTACCTCACCCTTGTCCTCTCCTGTGTTCCATAGCCAAGGCCATGGCTGTGGCCCACCCAGCCATCTTTCTGGTGTTAGCATATCCTGGGGCTTCCTTGGCCTGCCACCCCCTTTGCAACCTCCAGCTCCCCTCCTTCCCGCCCCTACCCCAACCCCACGTCTCACTGGCACCTTTCTATTTCCAAGAACTTACCTTACAGTTGCCACCTTTTCCCCCACCCCTACTCTTTGACCAGACTCCAGCTTTCTCCTGTCCTGTCCAAGTTGGGCCAAGATAAAGAGTAGATGAATATGAATTTGCCCCCGTCACATGCAGGTTTATCACTCTAGACATGCATTCAGTGGTTCTCACATGTGGTCCCCCAGCCAGCAGCATTGTACATGTGGGACTTGTTAGAGGTACAGATTCCTGGGTTTTACCCCCGACTTGGCATATTAGCAGCTTTGGGGGTAGGGCCAGTGATTTGCATTGAACAAGCCCCCCTGATGCCCTGAGAGCCACTGCACTAGACCAGTTTTCTACAACGTTCTCTCAGCAGCACCGTCTCTCAAACCCATACATCAGTCTGCTTGCCTTTGTCTACAAGCTGAGGATGTGGGGTCACTCCCCTGCCTTCCTGGAGGACCCTGACGGCCCCACCTCGGGCCCCTCTCGCAGGATCCATGTCTACCTCCTTTCATGTCCTCTGTGTTTTGTGTCTGGCCACATGTCTTTTCCCACCACGTCACTGTCACCTCTATGCTGACGATTCCTGCATGCCCGTTTCTAACAAACAGCTCTCCCGAGTGTTAGAAACATGCTTCCTTCTGCCCAGCAGGCGTTTGACCTTGAATATACCAGGCATCTTAGTCACCTCCCCTAAACCCATGTTTTGGGTTCCTTACTGCGACCACTCCCCACCCTGACTCTGAAAGAGACTCCTCTGGCCTCCATTTCCCTCCACGCTTGCCTCTCCCTCCCGCGACACATTCCCACCGCTGCCCGGTCACCTGCTGCTCCCCTTCTTGGCTGGCCTTGCCTCCTTGCTAGCTCAGCAGCCCTACTGGAGGTCCCTGAGCGCCCTATTCTTCCCACCCTTTGCTCTGCTCCTAGAGTTGCTCGGCTGCAGCCCGCGCTAGTGCTCATGGTCCTCAAGATGGAGCCCCCTGGCCGTCCCTGCTCGGCTTCCTGCCGTGCTCCTCGCTCAGCCTGCACTCCCACCGCTAGCCAGGCTGCTCATGTTCACACCTCTGTGCATTTGCTCTTGCTCTAGTCTGCACAGAATGACTTCTGTCTCGAGAACTCCTTCTCACCCGCAAAAATGCACCTCCACGCACCCGCCTGATGAACACCCTTCCTGGACACCCTGTGTCCCTCCTCCCAGTTCTGTGCTCCCCCAGAACGCTGCTCTTGTCCTTCCTATAGGACGCACACACCCTCTGTATCACCCATCTGTCATCCTGCCCGGATCATGAGCTTCTGGAAAGTCTCTGCTGAGTCTCAGTCCAGAGCACGATTCCTGGCACCTAGTTGGAGCTATATAAATAATCTTTTTGTTTGCTTCATCTAGCTATTACATAAAAGTCTGAGACCTGCAAACATGGAGCCACCTATAGTCTATTGCAACCTTCTCTGTCCCGCTCTTTACCATCCGGGCAGAGTGAGTAGGAGAGAGTCTGTCTCCCCACGCACCCTCAGGTAGCTCTTTGACCTTGGCTTCTGCCCTTGTTGCTAGTCTTAGAGGTCGAAATTTCTCCTGCATTAGAATGGTGGAAGGAATGCTTGGACCCTCCATCCCACCTAGAGAGGGCGCCGATCTGCTTGCAGCTCAGTCTGATGAACCTCCCTCCAGCACAGAAAGGAGAAGAGGGAACTTTCCTAGTCTGACCCTGGCTGGCCATTCTCTGACACCTCAGAGATAGTCTCATGGAAATGGCTGTTGGGGGCTTTTTCTGTGGCCCCAGGTTCTGAGCTGTCCCTAGAGAGAACCCCCTCATCCAGAGATAAGCATCAGCTCCTAAATACAATCAGTGCCCCAAGTGCCCTGTAAATGTTTGTTGAAAGCATAACCAAGTGTCCAGGCACAGAAGACACTTTGAGCCGCCCGCCCCCACCCCCATGTTTGCCATCCTTGCCTTTGCATCCAATTCCAGATCTGCAGAAAGGAGTGGGGCAGCAAAGAGAAAGGTGAAGGGAGACTTGGAAGGACTGTTTCTCCACTATTTTCTCTCCTCTGTGTACCCTGAGGACGACCTCTGCGTCAGGAAAAACACGCAGGTTTCCCAGGCCACCGAGCCCCCTCCTTCTTGCCCTCAGCCCTGGGCTCGCGCCCTTCCAGGCTGCAGGCAGAAAGAGGTGGACAGACGAGCTTGGAGACAACAGTTAAGTGAATTCAATTACCATAGCAACCAAAGCCACCAGAATGGAGATTAGGCTCCAGGCAGCAGCCATCCAGGCATCCAAGAGAGGCAGCAATCCAAAGGCAATGGCGCTGAGACCCGGGGGTGGGCTGGGGAGAAGGGGCAAGCCTGCTCATCTGCCCAGCACCCCCCACCTTCACCAGCAGGTCCTGGGACTCTTCAGAGCACTGACCTGCCAAAGAGCAGGCACCCAACCCTGCAGGGAGCTGGAGAGTAGGTGGGGAGGGGGGCGAGCAGTGAGCAGGCCTGACCTTGTGCTGACGTCTCACGTGCTACTGTGGCCTCCTGGGCACAGGCAGGAGGCCGCCGGCCTTCTGCACCTCTGCAGATTCACTTAAGAGCAGAAGTTCTGGCATCAGACTGGCTTCAAATGCCAGCTCTGCTAGGGAGCCCAGTGCTGAACTTTTCTGCACCTTGCCTTTTCACCTGCTAAACGGGTCAGTATCTGTTGCACAGGAGTGCTGTCAGGCCTGAGAAGGTGGAACGCCCGTCAAGCCTTAGCACAGCGTGTGGCCATGTTCAATGCTAGCGCGAGTGTGTTGTTCCTGTGTCATCACTACTGTTGCTATTAATTTCACAGTGATGATGACGTGATGATCACAATGACAGTGATGACTCCAGACACCCACCCCGCCACCCCCGCACTGGTTTATTTCCCGGCTATAGGCACCACCTTTGTTAGGTCAATGTGCCCAGCCTGAGGCAGACAGAGAAGATTCCCCAGAGGCAGACAAGCCAGATCACGGTAGCCAGTCTCCTCCTGCTCCAGAGGCCAGTCAGAAACCAGAGAGGCTGCTAAGCCACCAGGAAAATGGCCTTGCTCCATAGGACATTCACCCGGGCCTTCATCCTGGCCAGCCAGTTGTGGTCAACCTGGGGAATCGCCATAAAGAGACAGATAGTGGCCTCCTTCACGTACTTATTTTGTCTTAAAGATGTTAAACAAGCCTGTGATCTTGAGCTGCAAAGAGCTGTTGCCTTTCCTGGCGATATACCCTTCATATGTAAAGTTGTGATAAAAATAAAGTCACGGAGAAACAACAGTCCCGTTCATGGACGTGCAGAACGGCAGGCAGATGAGAGTCCTAGGGCCGAGACAGTCCTCCACAGTGACATTAAGGACTCGGGACTGGGGTGTCGCTGGACCACCTGCAGGGTCCAGCTCCTCCTTGCCCCGGGCTTTGTGTGAGCCGCAGGATGGACCAGGGCTGCTGAGCTGCTGGGGAGCCGAGGTGACTGAGACTCAGGTTTGGCTCAGTGGTGAAGAAAGTCCTCAGAGAAACACAAGACGGGGTATTATTTGACAGGCCAGGATGGTAGGATTGTTTGGGACGGTGGGCCGGCGTCACAGAGGACTGGCATCTGGATTGGGTTGGAAGGAGGAATACATTTTGCCCAGCGGAGAAGGAAGAAGGACTCTGCAGGCAGAGAGAACAGCAGGTGCAAAGAGGGAGTGTGAAAGGGCCTGGTGTGTCTGGGGGAGGTGAGAAGTGTAGGGATGATAAAGCTTGCGTGTGTGTGTGTGTGTGTGTGGCATGTGCTAGTGTGTGCATGCATGTTGAGGAATGATAAGGGGGTGGAGAAAAGAATGGCAGGGGGTGAGACCCAAGCGTCAATCTCTCCTCTTATCTCTTAAGAGATCAGCAGTTCCATAAGCTTCTAGATCCTGTTGTCTGCTCTGCCGGAATTTATTCAGTCTTATTTTGAAAATTCATTCCCCTATCACCAAAGGGACTGTTGAGCTAGTTCTAGGGAAACCCAGCCTGTTCCTGAATGTCTGCTTTGCTTGTATTGAAGGTCCCCAGATGACAGCTTCCTGCAGCCTCGCACCAGCAGCTCTGTCTAGAAAGGACATTGAGAGGGACTCCCACCACCCCTCTTTCGTGGGAGGGGTGCACGCTGTCTCTGCTTTGCACTCTCCTGGCCCGGACTGACCCCATCATCCAGCCAGAGTCCTGAAAATGTTTACCTCCAACATATTTCTGGCCCACCCCCCTTCTCCATCCCCAGAAGCTCAGCCCGTGTCATCTCCTGGAATATTGCAATAGCCTGCTAATTGGTCCCCCCACTTCCCACCTAGTCTAACCCATCCTGGGCGTGTGGATTTTTCTAGAATAAATCTGACTGTCCCATGCATCTACCCAGGGCCCTGTGGTAACTCCCTGTGACCTGGAGGCTAGAGCCCAACTGCTTGGCTTTACTTCTCAGCCTCAGTCCTGCTGGTCTCACCCCCCAGACATGTACAGAACTCGTCCGGACCCTAATGTCTTTGCGGTGTTTGCTTCATCCCTTGGGTCATTTGGCTGATTCCTTGTCTCTTTCCAGATTTGGCCCAGATGTCATCTCCTCCAGAGGCTCTTCCCACACCTCTCAGGTAGGACCATGAGCCTCCTCTCTGTTGTCCCCTACCTCTCAGGCACGCTCCTGCCACACTGCAGCCATGCGGTGATTTCCTCCAACCCTTTATCTGAGAAATGGAAGTAGAAATCAATCTAGCTCATGAGACCATTTTGAGAATTTGTAAATCTAGCTTCTTCCCACCCCTCAGTCCTCACTGAGACCCAGGTGAGGTTTCGGAAGCCTACACACCTGAGTAGAGCACACGCCCACTCTCTGCCCTTCTCCTTAAGTCATAGGGTCCTGGAAGGCAGGGCTGTGCCTTCTACCTGACCACCATATGCTCAGCACAGTGGCCAGTGGATGGTCAACAAGTATGTGGGAAATGAATGAATGGTTTGATAAGTGTTGGCTGAACTGATGTAAGAGAGCTTCATAGGTTGTGTCTTAACCTCTTGTGTCACCAGGAAGGCCCCTGAATGGGGCCTGTGTATTGAACACTAGGCTCTGGGCTAGGGGGTCCCTGTTAATACTTAGGTAGAGGAGGGTGTAGACAGACAAAGAATACTCAGGTGTCCTGGGAAACTGGTCCTGGAACATCTGAATAAGACAAAGTGGGAAGTAAAAGGGACCTTCCTGGGGAAAACAATCTGTAAGTCACTCTCTTCCCACCCCTCATCACCATCCCACCTCTGCAAGCAGCACTGTAATTCACTGAGAAGGTTGTTGTATGTTTCCTTTTTTGTCCTTTTTAGCAATGTTTAGCACAGAGGGAAGTGCTAACATTGAGTCTGTATTTGCAAAATTAGCTCAGGCGTTAGTTAAGATGTCCTGAGCTTACCACTTTGGGGATTCCAGTTGGTCTGGGAGGGACAAGCGTCCCATCAGCCAGGTAGAGGCTGTTCATTCTCCTATCAACAAAGGACAAGGAACTTTCTGACTTTAACTATGTTTTTAGTAGTTGTTGTTTCACGCTGAGCTTAGCTGTCTCCATTCTTTATGACTCTGGGTATGATTTAACACATACACTTAAAAAATGAGAGAACAACTTCTTAAATTTGCAGTAAATGTATTGTTCAATAGATTTGATTTAGTAGTTATGAGCCACAGAAGAGCTGCCGAAGCGATTTATCGTGATATTGTCTCAGGAGTTGGAATCCACTGCCTCTATCTCCTCTGAGCCCCATAAAAATAATCCAATGAAGGGAAGGCCCAGGGTGCATCTTGGCACCAGCTGGGATTGGAACGGCCACACCCAATTGTGTTTATTAGGTCTCCCTTCCAGACAATGAGTCCGTGGCAGGGAGAAAGGGGGTTGGATTTAGTAGCATTTGTTCTGAGTGGTTGGTGGGGCCAAAGAGCAGAGGGCTCTGGGCATTGCAGCTTGGGAGAGATTTACAAGGCTTCACTTGCCTCCCTGGTGCCTCTGCAGAGAAGTTAAATGGATGGAAAATTGTGTGTGTGTGTGTGTGTGTGTGTGTGTGTTGAGAGGAGGAAGGGAGCAAGAATCATCATTTAGAGGGAGTCAGAAGTGTCAGTCTCTTGAGGAAAACCTCCACAAAACAGTCTCTGCTTTTGAGCCCCCAAGCAACTGCATACACAGCTTTGTTTGCTAGGAAAGGCTTGGAAGTGTGCGCAGGGTGGGCAGGGCAGATGCTCAAAGATGACAGAGGGTTCGGAGGGGGGAGAGACAGGCAAGTTGTCCAGGGAGGAGTGTTTCCAAACTTAGCCCTCCCTGTGGACATAGCCAAGCAGAGTTGGAGAAGGACAGAGTTCTTCCAGAAGAACAGCCTGAGCAAATAAATACTCAGGGGTAAAAGAAAAGCTGAGGGTTTAGAGAACTACAGCCCTTTCAATGCAGTAGAAATATGGGTTCTAGGAGAGAAAAGTGGAGAAGCAGAAGTAATCAAGGATTTGCTAACAGGAGACATGCCAAGGTACATCTGCTTAATTCCGAGGATGTTGGGGAGTGACGGGTGCAACATGGTTGGGTTTGTGTTTTGAAAGATCACCCTGCTGCCGGGTGGAATGTGGACTAACATAGTGGGCTTCTTAGTTGAGCTTCCATTTCTAGAAATTCCCTGCCTATCCTTATCTCGAGCCAGGAAGCACAGCCCTGGGTCCTCCTCAGTCTCTGGGTGTGTGATGCTCAGCACTTGCACAGGTGCAAGGTGAGACGAGATGTTGCCTTTACTTTCAGGTGGTGCATTGTGAGCGCCAGGTCTGTATGGCATTGTCCCATAGAACTTTCTGTCACGAGGGCAGTTATCTGTACTCAGTGCTGGAGCCATTAGCTATACGTGCCTATTGGACATTTGAAGATCAGTGCTATTAAGAAACAGATTTTTAAATTTTAATTATTTTGTTAATTTAAGCAGTCCCATATGATTGCTGGCTACCATATTAGACAGTACAAATCTAAGATATGAGATCCTCACAGACAGTTCTAGCAAAAGCTAAGCATGTAGGAAATTCTTATAAGTGGATTCTTATTTCTTGTGCCTGGAGGTGGTGGAGGTGGTGGAGGATAGCACTTTGAAGGTTGGTGCAGTCAGACTCAGGGTTTCAGTCCAATCTGTGCCACCATATTGGTCAGGCCTCCTATTTTAACACACATCACTGCATTTCAGTGGACTAACATAATAGAGTTTTATTTTTCTAACCATTTTATAGTCCAGTGAAGGTGAGGGAGAGTCTCAGCTCCCTCCTAGATACACAGTTATGCAGGAACCCAGCCTCCTTCCCTATGTGGCTCTGACCTCCCCTGGGTTCTTGAAATTTCCCCCATTCAGGGGCCTTCCTGGTGGCACACGGGGTTAAGACACAACCTATGAAGCTCTCTGCAGCCACTGCAGGATGAGTTCGATTTCTCCCCATCCACCACCGCTGGCCAGAGAGCTACCCACTTGGCACAGCAGACCTCTCCTGACTTGCCCGCTGTTCCCCTCAGCAGTGTATTTCAGTCAGTCCGCCTGTTCTGCTCCCCACTCTGTCTCTGGTGAATCCTCTCACCCCTCATACATCTGGCCTGTAACCCAGTTCTTGTATGCATAAATAAATATTTCTTAAAAAAAAAAAGAAATTTCCCCCATTCAGCCTGGGGACAGAGAAAGAGAGTGAGAAACATCACACAGGATTGCCCTGGATGGTGGTGGTGGTGGTTTTTTTTTTTTTTTTAAGATTTATTTATGCATACAAGAACTGAGGTATAGGCCAGATGGTAGTGAGATGGGATGGTAGTGAGAGGATTCACCAGAGATAGAGTGAGGAGCAGACAGGCAGATCCACTGAAATGCACTGCTGAGGGGAGCAGCAGATGAGACAGGAAAGGTCTGCTGCACCATGTGGCTTAGTTCTCTGGCTGGGGATCGAACAAACTCATGCCGCAGTGGCTGCTGATAGCTTGATAGCACTGAGACTTTAACCTCTGCACCACCAGGGAGGCTCTGCCCTGGATGGTTTTATGGGACTGGTTTTAATACCCTGGCCAGAATTTAGTTACATGGTCAAATCTAATTGCAAAGGAGCCTGGGAGTTGTGGTCTAGATACGCCCATTAAAAAGAGGAAATAAGTTTGATTAACATCTAGCTAGTATCTGACATAGGTACCTATACTGGTGTGACCTTAAACCTTAGTTTTCTTATCTTTAAGACGCGGGAAAAATAAGGATTTGTGAGGATTAACTGAAGTAATGCATGTGAAAAATATAAAACACAGTTGGAGTTCATAGCTATGATTTCTTGTCTCTCAAGTTGGGTCCCACTACAGTTATTGGGCAGTAGTCCCACTGACACCAAAAAACTTTCACAAGGATGTACCACTAAATGGCATTTTATGCATGCCTCTTTCACCCAAGGAGCTGGACAGATCTTGCACAGAATTCAACAAGTCCTTAAGCTTGCCTAACTTTGGGACTGCCCCCCTCTGACAACAAGGGTATTGGCCAAACATTCTCAGCATCATAGGGGAAGATAGGAGAACTTCCCCAGAGAGATGGATTTTGTTGGTCAAAAGGACAGTGCAATTAGTGAATTATTTACAGATACAATTGTGTGACATGTAGAATTTCTCCTAAATGATTAGGGGTGATGGTGAGTGGGGGTACAGATATAACATGATTGGCCTTGAGTAGGTAATTATCAAAGCTAAGGAATGGACGAGCGGGTATACTGTACAATTCTCTCTTCTTTGTATGCACTTGAAATTTTCCATAACAAAGGGAATCCTTCCTAAATAAATGTTTTGCAGAGAAGTTCAGAAACCTCTCATGACCTTGCAGTATGGGGACAGTAGCTGGACTATCTTTGTTTACTTGTTGACTCACCAAAGCAATTAACAATTTTGCAGCTGGGTCTCCCATAGATGCAGTGAGACAGAAATACCCAACCCCAGCCTTGAGCTGTGAAGAAAAAACATACTTGAATGTGAGTATCAGAGACGTGTGGAACTGGAAGGGACCTTGGAACTCCAGAGCTGTGTCTGTTTACCAAGAGATTGGTATAAAAAATTGGCGCACAAATCTCCTTAATGCAATACTTTTGCAAAGGCTAGGGATTTGATTTTCTAGCTGCAGAGTTCAGAAACAATCCACCTGGGAGAGTTGCATCAATGGGGCCAGTTTTATGAGTGAATAGTGACTTTGTAAAGTTGGAAAGAGCCTCTGGTTCTCCCAAATCCTCTCCCATTACTCTGATGGATGCCTGAAATCCCCCCATTATATTTTATTGTTTTGGCTTAAAGGTCTGTTTTGTTAAAATATGAGTACTGTATCTCGGGATGACATAGTCACTTACATATTACTTCAAATGATTATATCAGTTCTTGTTGATGGGGGGGGGGGTATAGGCACCTGAATCTCAAGACTGCAGAAATGGGGTGCCACCAAACAGAGGAACTGATAGAAAAATGTGTGCATGGAGATAAACCTTTCTGATTTCCCATGTTTCCTGCAGTCTCAGTATGAACATAAACCACACAGAAGGACTTGAGGGACCTGTGTAAACTTCTTCACAAACAAGAGCTAGAGAACTAGGTAA